TTAGAGGAAAAGACATTCAATATATTGATTACATTTAGCTAATGTGAAGAACCACCTACATTCTTCCAACTATTGCCACTTTGTCCAAGCTGGTTGTCCCAGCCCAGCTTCTGGCCAAGGATTGTGTCTTGAACCACTGGCTGATCAGTTGGGAAGCAACGACTAGATGTTCCACCCTGTTTTGCGGAGACTAGAGGATTGAACTAGTGGTTTAGCTAACATGAAAGTGAAGCAAGGAGTCTGTGCTGGGTTGGCTCTGGATTATCAGGGCTTGCCGTGCTGAGCAAGGGAGCAGTGGAATTTGTCTGAGTTGGGCTCACACATTGAAGTTATTGAGTGACTTACACGCAAGGCCGTGACCTGGACTCCCAGCTGAGAGGCCCACGTGGCAGGGCTTTAGCTGGGGGAGCTGAGGACAGACTCACATCTGCTCATCTGCTTACGTAACCCTGCTTCTCAGCTCTCAGAGCCAAGAAAACACACAAGCCAGCCCAGCAGGGCCGAGGGCCTGTGGTAGCACACGCCATGCGCCTCACAGCAAGGGAGCCTTGACTTAGCATGAGGACTGCCATGAAGCCTTCAGTCCTTTGCTTCCTCCCATCGCCTCTCCCTGAGGCTTCCAGCAGTGGCTCTGAGACCTGGCAGCAGGTCTGCAGGGCTCTGGGCAGAGCTGGTCACTGCCCTCCTGGAGTCTGAGCTCTATGAATTTTCTCACTGGGCCAGAGCCAGGTTTGCAGCAGAGGACAACCCCTGTGTCATGGCTGGAGGTGTGCAGGACACTCAGAGAGGCCTTCTGGCTGGCACTGGACCCAAGAAGGCATTCAGGCCCTGACCGGTTTGGCTTAGCGGTTAGAGCGTCGGCCCGCGGACCAAAGAGTTGAGGGTTCGAGTCCAATCAAGGGCATGTACCTCAGTTGTGGTTAGATCCCCGGCCCTGGTTGGGGTCGTGTGGGAGACAGTCAATTGGTGTGTCTCTCTCACATCACTGTTTCTCTCTCTCCCTCCCTTCCACTCTATCTGAAAATCAATGGAAGAATATCCTCGGGTGAGAGTTGAAAAAAAGAAGAAAGCATTCAGCTCCAGGTCTGGTGCTGCTGCTGCTGTCCACCCCCAGAGGTGGGATCCGCAGGATTCTGAGCCTCCACAGCTGATGGAGGCCGTGAGAGAGGTGCAGAGAGGAACAGGAGAGTGGGAAGAGGCTGTTCAGTGATAAAGCTCTGTGAGCCATCAGAGGAGCCAGTTGGGGGGAGGGGGGTCGATAAGAGTTCTTCTGGGGCTTGTTGAGTTCCAGTCCCTGCAATTTACGAATGGGACACCAGTACCCTGAGAGCAGATGGTACTTTCCTAAAGAAAAATCATCCAGCCCTGGCCGGCTTGGCTCAGCGGTTAGAGCGTCGGCCTGCAGTCCAGAAAGACCTGGGTTCGGTTTCCGTTCAGGGTACGTACCTCGATTGCAGTTTGTCCCGGGCCTGGTTGTCATGCGGGTGACAGTCACTTGATGTGTCCCTTTCACGTCGATGTTTCTCTCTTTCTCTTCCCCTCTCTTCCTCCCACTTTATCTGAACAAAAAAATGTCCTCGGGTGAGGATTAAAAAAAAAAAAAAAGAAAAGAAAAAAAATCATCCAGCAAGTCATTGACAGAACTGAACCAGGGCCCAGGCATCCCCTTTCCAAGAAACCTCAGGACCATCTTTCTGGAACTCAGGAAGTAGCATAACTAAGACCAGCCTGCAGATGTCTGCTTCAGGAGGCTGGGCAGACCAAATGTGAATTTCTGTTTACTGGGCTGGTTTCAGAAAGTGAGTGATAGTAGGGTGATAGACAGTCCAGATGCCTCTCGAGTTCCTGAAAATGGGGTTATGTTTAGCAGTATCTTGAGATGCAAAGGTGCAGTGGGGCTGGGGCTTGGCAGATGTTGTGGGGCCCTCTGAAGTGAGAAGACCCTAGCAATGGACCTTTTTTCATAAGTGCACTGTGCAGCAGGGCCTCCCAGAAGTCTTTGCCCGGGGCTGGGGAATCAAGCAGTTCAAGCCTGCTGGGCCTCACGGAGAAGGGCTGCCTCCATTACCTGTGAGTTGTAGAGACCCTGAGGACCCTTCTTGCCGGAAAGCCCAAGACTTGTGAAGATAGGAGGGTCATATCCCCATTGCTCAACTTCCCCAAACAGAATCACCTAGGCTCCTTGTTAATTGTCCACCTAAGTCCTTCCCAAGATCTGCCGAGTCAGGCTCGCTAGGGGAAGGGTCTAAGATCCCATATTTTTGCAAATTGTCTCAGATGATTCTGATGGTAGGTTTGGGGAAAACTGGTCCAGGGTCACCTCTTACTTAATACCAGAGCATAAAGCCTATACTTACCTGAAGGCACCCTGGGAGATTGGAGCTGGGTCAGCCAGCAGACAGATAAGGCCCCTATCCCTCCAGAGAGGGATATACATGGCCAGGCTTTGGAACCCTGAGGATTCCCTTCCTTCCCCCAGGGGATCTGCTGTCTCAGCTCTATAGTAATGAAGAAAGGAAAAGGACGAGGCCAGATTGGGGCTTTGCTTTTAAGATTCTGACCTGTCTCTCAATGCAGTTTGCTGTTAGAGGAAAGAGGGTAGGGCATTTTAAGCAAAGAGAAAAGTGTGGTCATAGGCCTGGTTTATAAGAATGGGGAGGGAGGTAGAGCTGAAACTGAAGGGCCTTGTTGCCAAGCTAGGAGGTTTGGCCCTACCTTGTCCAAGGTGACACAGCCTTAGAGCCATTGGAGATTTTTATTGGGAAAGTAATGATCACAGCTATGTCTCAAGAAATGATGGTGTGGCCCTGGCCAATTTGGCTGAGCGGTTAGAGTGTCGTCCCGTGGACCAGACAGGCCTGGGTTTGGTTTCCGCTAAGGTCATGTACCTCGGTTGCAGTTTGTCCCTGGCCCTGGTTGGGGTTATATGGGTGGCAACCACTCGGTGTGTCTCTCTCACAGAGATGTTTCTCTCTCTCTCTCTCTCTTCCTCCCGCTCTCCCTCCTGCTCTATATGAAGATAAATGCAAAAATGTCCTCCAGTGAGGATAAAAAAAGAAAAGAAAAAGAAATGATGGTGTGTCGGCACAGGAGGGAGGGAAGGTGAGTGGAGTACTGGAGGGGAGAGGAGGAGGAGGAGGAGAAGGAGGTCAGTTCACACCTGTGGGCAGGCAGGAGGAGCAAGAGTCACAACTTCCTTTTCTGGGGATGTTTCATTTCAGGAGGGTGAGTGATCTCTGGGGGCAGGGTACCTGGAGAGCCACATATTATTGGTAAACAGGATGGCAGAGGGCTGCACACTGGTTCTCACCAGTATGTTTCAGGTGAACCTGCTCTGAGTTTGTGGTCAGCGCACTCACCTCTGTTCTGTAGGTTCTTTCCTTTGTTCTTGTGACTAGTTTGCTTCACAGGGGAAGCTGGTTGCACTTGAGTATAAGTTCTCAAACTGTGTCCCCTGATGAAGTGGTTTTGTGGCCCAGTAAGTTTGGGAGATGGTGAATTAAATAAGGTGAAGAAGAGCCCTCGCCGGTTTGGCCCGTGAACCAATGAGTTGCGGGTTCAGTACCAGTCAAGGGCATGTACCTCAGTTGCGGTTCATCCCTGGCCTTGGTCAGGTTTGTGCAGGAGGCAACCATTCGATGTGTCTCTCTCACATCGATGTTTCTCTCTCTCTCCCTCCCTCCCACTCTATCTGAAGATAAATAGAAAAATATCCTCGTGTAAGGATTAAAAATAATAAAAAATAAAAAGATGCAGTTTTATATTAAAAAAATAAAATAAAGTGAAGAAGGTTTTTTGATCACACAACTCAGAGTCTTTAGTGTACGTCCTGACTTTCCAGAAGCAGGATTCAGTAGGCAGGGTTCCTACTCTTATTTGACCAGGGACATGTTCTTTCATTGAGCATCTTGCTGGGATTAGTGTTTCCTGGAACCCACTTGGAGAAAATCTGTCCTACTGAGGCTTGGGTTTAAGTCACAACTCTGTCCCCAAGTCCCTGTGTGTCCCTGGGCCAGTCATCTTTCTTCTGCCCTCACCATCTGTGCTTTGTGAGGGACAGTCCCCAGCAGCCCTCTCTTAGCTCCACCTGTTCCTACTTAGGAAACGAGGACTTCCATGTCTGTATCTGGATCTTGACCTTTGCCTTTTCCTTGGCTCCTAACTTGCCACTGGCTGAAAATCCACCATCCACTTCTCATCAGTTTTTCATCTAAGCCAAAGAACTCTCTTACTGATTTGTCTCATCTGGAGCCATGTTCTTCCAGGCCAGAAACTTTGCAGTCATCCCTGACTTTTCCTCCCTTCTTCATCCACTCTGTTTATTACTCTATCCCTCACTTTTACTAAGCATTCTCCTTTGATGTTCTTTCCAGCTGTTTTCCTCTCTCCTTTCCCGTTAGTCTCCTCTGGGATCTCATTTCCTCCAGTCCTTCCTGTCAAGTTTGTTTCATTTGTGCATCAACCCATGAGACATGAGTCACTCATGCCACTCCTTGCTACGTTCTAATTTTCTCAACACTGACCTCTCCAGCACACACACACCGACCTTTCCTCAACTAGGCTAAGTTCAGAGAGAACCTATCCAAAGCCACACTTGCTGGGAGGTGGCAAGAGCTAGGACTCAACCTCAGGATTTCTGAGAAAGAGCTTTCTCCTCCATGGTCTCTGGTCCGTACCACAGCCTGTCAGGAAGTCAGAAAAGGAATTACCCCATTTCCATTTTACAGTTGAGAAACAGAGTCTGAAGGGAGTGAGTGTCCTTCATAGGTGAGTGTTTCCTGGGTGACCAGCCATCCAGGTTTGCCTGGTTGACGTTTCCTGGGATGGTTGGTCACCCTAGTGCTGGATATGCTACCTAGTGCTGGGCATGAGTGCCTTTTCTTCGGCCACACTGCCTCTCAGGAAGAGCTGTCTCCTGCGACCTGGCCACCTAACATCGCCTGTGAAGCAGCGAGTCCTGTGTCCTGCTAACTTCTCCCTCTTTCCCTCCACCCCTCTAGTCGGCCCCATGCTGATTGAGTTCAAGGTGCCTGTGGACCTGACACTTCTGGCGAAACAGAACCCTGAGGTGAAAGTGGGTGGTCGCTATGCCCCCAAGGACTGCATTTCTCCGCACAAGGTGGCCATCATTATTCCATTCCGTAACCGGCAGGAGCACCTCAAGTACTGGCTGTATTACCTGCACCCAATCCTGCAACGTCAGCAGTTGGACTATGGCATCTATGTTATCAACCAGGTGAGGTCTGGGAAGGTGGAGCATGGGAGGAAGTGTGTGTGCGCATGTGCACGCACGCACGCATGCGCGCACACACACGTGCTGTAAATAGGAGAGTAATGAGGTGGGGAAGGAAAGGAAGTGATTTCCTAGATATCTGATATTTTATAACTCAACTAGTACCATATTCCTTATCTTAGTATAGATAGGCCCAATGCCAGACAGTGTTCTTGCTTGTTGCTATGAATTCTTTTAGGCTAGGGAAATTGCTCAGATGTTGTGTTTATTTGTTTTGTTTTGTTGGAAATAGCCTTCCAACAATGTTGAGAGAAAAATATTAACCCTAATTTTCTCCAAATAAAGCACTGGTTATTTCCTGTTTCTGGGTAGGTGTGTTTTCTTTTTAACAAATAAAAATACCCATTTAGAGTCAGACTTCTAGACAACTTTCATTTTATCTGGATTAGCCCTGCCTGGTTTGGCTCAGTGGTCAGAGTTCAGTCCATGCACCAAAGGGTTGTGGGTTGGATTCCCGGTCAAGGGCACATACCTATGTTAAAGATTCAATCCCCAGGCCTGGTTGGGGTTTGTAGGAGGCAGCCAGTCGATGTGTCTCTTTCACATTAATGTTTCTCTCCCTTCTTCTCCCTCCCTCCCTTTCACTCTCTTTAAAAGTCAATGGAGTCCAGCTAGTGTGGTTCAGTGGTTGAGTGTCAACCTATGCACTGAAAGGTCGTTGGTTTGATTCCTGGTCAGGGCACATGCCCAGGTCGTGGGCTAGATCCCCAGTGGAGGGCACGCAGGAGGTGGCCAATTGATGTTCTCTCTCATCGATGTTTCTATCTCTCTCTCTCTCTCCCCCTTCCTCTCTCTCTAAAATCAACAAAGAAAAAGAAAAAAGTCAATGGAAGAAATATCCTTGGGTGAGGATTAACAACAAAAAAAAATTCAGTTTAACTGCTTCTTCTGGGGTAATCATAGGAGATAATGCCCTTAGTCCAGGCCTGAATGCCAGGCCCCAAGAAAAGTTTGGGGAAGTCTTATTTCTGGACCACTGAACATTATGTGGACTGAGCATCTCGTTTGTGTCTGATCAACATGTGTGTTGGGCTTAAGGAAACTGTTGAAGATGTGTCAGCCTTCAGCACCACGACTTGGAGAAATCAGAACGATCTGCGTGGCAGTATTGTAATAACTTTGCTCATTTCCAGTCTGTTTAAGGAACATTATTATTTTTCCAAAAGTGTAACTTTGATATATCAAGTGTATTTTGAATACTTAAATTCACATCTTTAGACTATAACCTTCTAGGTGCAATAAGACATCTAACTTAATCTGTATACCAAATTTCATTGAAATTCATCTGAAGGGACAAAGTATGCCCATTTCTAAAAGTCTGAATATCCATTTCATTTTGAGATAAATTCTGAATCTGCTTGAGGTAGTAAGATTGTTGGTAGTTGACAGCTTCCATCAAAGTTGAGGGACTTTTCCCTGGCCGGTTTTGCTCAGTGGTTAGAGCGTCGGCCTGCAAACAGAAGAGTTGCAGGTACCTGGGTTGTGGTTCAACCCCCAGCCCTGGTTGGGGTTGTGCGGAAGACAACCAGTAGATGTTTCTCTTACACCAATGTTTCTCTCTCTCTTTCCCTCCTCCCTCCCTCCATTCCTCCCTTCCTCCCACTCTATCTGGAAAAAATCAATGGAAAAATGTCCTCAGGTGAGAATCAAAAGAAAAAGTTGAGGGACTTTCTGTGCCTCCCCTTGGACCAGAAGGGAAGCTGAAAACAGCATTGTGTCCATCAAGCATCTCTGTGGACTGCTGTGCACAGTGCGGCACCAGTTCCTGCAGAGAGATTCTAAAGAAGTCCAGAGAGAGCCTGAGGTCCCAGTTCTACCTGTCCCAAAGCTTCCCTTCCCTCTTATGGCAAATGGACCCTTCCAGGAAACAATTTGTTAACGATCCCTAATGGCATCCGATTGAATGGTGGCTCCCAAATGCTCTGGAAGCTCAGGAAGGAGAAAGCAGCTGCCTGGAAGAAACAGGATAAAACTGGGTTCTAAAGGCTGGAGAGAGACAGGGACATCTCAGCTGGGGCCAGAGAATGGGGATTTTAAGGAAGAAAGGAGCCTTGCATGTTCCTGGACATCGAGATGACCATTGGGTAGGAAGACAGCAGAGGTTGTAGGGCCAGATATTGGAACCAAATCTGTCAGACAGCCCCATTTCAAGGGAACTGAAGCTCAAGGTTGGAAGAGCAGTTGGCAGATAAACTCCTTGGTGCTGTCTGAGTCGCTTGGCCAAGTGGGGCATGGACCAGGGCCCTGAGAAAATCTATGAGTAAGATAACTGTGGGTCACTCACCTTAGAAGAATTTATATTTAAGAAAAGTCTTGTCAGCAAGGAACCCTTGTCTGATGCCAGTGAGTGCACGTTGATCATGGCAAGATTCAGGAGTCCATTATTTAAGCAATGGCAGTGGGTACCTGGGGAAGGAAGCCACCATCACTAGGAGGAATTACTGAGAACAAGCCATGCCAGCAGCATCTCCTTTCCCTCTTTGACAATTATTATACCAGCAGATGAGTGAGATACTGTAGACACAATGTTGTCAGGTCTTATTCTTCAAGGCATGTGAAGGCCTCCCACAGATCTTTCTGACCAGCAGAGAGACGGCTGCGGTCTGGATTACATCCAAATTACATTAAACTGGATACTTGCATAAAGAGGGTAGAAGAGAGTTAGTGATAATGCTGAGTTTTTTAATTTAGGTGATTAGGGTCAAGAAAGACTAGAGGAAAAGATAACCAATGTATAGATATGTTAAATTTTAGGTGAATGTAAGATTTCCATGTTCAATGATAAAGTCAAAATAGATATTAGACCAGTCAAATTTAGCCTCTGTCTTAAATTCCTATGACATAATTTATACAGAGAATCCTCAGGTTTCAAACAACAGATTTCCGAATGTCCTATACCAGCTATATGCTCCTGCCTGCCCCAGTCCTGGTGGAAAAGCTAAGCAAGCCAGTGTGCACCAGTGTCACCACTGAGCTGGCTAACCCTGGATGCTGCCTAAATTGGGACTTTTCTCAAAGTGTGCTTTCCAAAATGGATCTGAGGCCAAATACCTTGGAGGAATGCTGGATTAAACAGTGTAAAGCAGGTCCCAGTCCTACAGAACCTTTGGTGTACTAGGGTTCATTATAGCCTCCAGAAGTACTTAGCACTTGGTGTTTCCTGAGCTTGTTTGACTCTAGAAGGGTTTCCAAGGACCATCTCAAGTAATGAATGTTCTGTGGATCACACTTTGGGGAAAGGAGGCAGCCCCCCACTTCTTTAATTTCTCTAGGATACTGAGAACCCCCATTCTCTCTCTCTTTCTTATCTTTGCTACTTGCAACGCAGCATTAGAAATACTTTATTTCTAGATTTTCAAACATATTTACACCTCCCCTCCAGCCTTGTCATATCATTCTTCACTCCCCCACCCTGCTCCCATCCTAGTCCATGTCTTTTTGCCTCTACATCTTTTCCTTCTCTTCAAGGGTTAACTTTCCTCTTTTTTTTTTTAAATACAGTATTTTTCAAATGTGTTTAATCAGTTTATTTATTTCAATATGTTTTTATTGATTTTAGAGAGAGAGGAAGGGGGGGAGAGAGAGAGAAACATCAGTGTGAGAGAGAAACATCGATCTACTGCCTACTGTATACACCCTACTGGGGACTGAACGGCAACCCATGCATATGCCCCGACTGGGAATCGAACTGGCAACCTTTTGGTGCAGGTGACAACATCAGCCAGCTGAGCCACACTGACAAGGGCAGGTTAACTTTCTTGTTTATCTTCCTCTCCCCCTGCTAATGTTTTTCTTCTGCTCCAACTCTACCCTGGTTATTTCTTTGGAAAAATAGTCTGATATTGAGATCAGACCAAGTCTAAGGAGAAACTTTAATTTTGCCCTACCCGTCCAGTAAAGGGTAAGAGAGAGAAAAAAACCTCGATGTGATAGGGAAACAGATTGGTTGCCTCCGTGTACCCATCTCAACTGGGGATCAAACCCGAAACCTGGGTATGTGCCCTGACCGAGAATCAGACCCATGACCTTTCAGTGTACCAGGTGATGCTCCACACTGGCCAGGGCAGAAGCCTAAGTCTTTTGAAAGAAAGAGGCCAAGGGAGAAGTATTGCATCATTTCCCCATTTAACTTAGAAACTTCTTGTGTTCTCTGTTTTATAGTTATTTTAGAGGAAGAAAGAAGTTAAAAGGGAGTTTGTAGCATCTGGCTTCTATCTTTATGTACTATTGAGCAAATAGGCCTCTCAGTGTCCCCTTGTCTCAGACACGTTGCTGTCATTTTGACCATTTACCCCTTACCCATTTAAAATGAGAGAGAGCTCGGGCCAGTTTGGCTCAGCGGTTAGAGCGTTGGCCTGCAGTCTGGAGAGACCCGGGTTTGGTTCCCGCTAAGGGCACGTATCTCGGTTGCAGTTTGTCCCCGCCCCTGGTTGGGTCGTGTTGGTGGCGACCACTCGATGTGTCCCTTTCACATCGATGTTTCTCTCTCTCTCTCTCTCCCCCTCCCTCCCACTCTATCTGAACAAAATATCGAAAAATGTCCTCGGGCGAGGATAAAAAAAATAAAATAAAATAAAATTAGAGAGAAAGAATGCTTAAAATAGGAGGGGCCTCTGAGACATCTTGTCCACGGGTTCTTAAACAGGTTTTTAAGAATACAACCTCCAGCCCTGGCTGGTTTCGCTCAGTGGTTAGAGTGTTGGCCCGCAGACCAATGAGTTGCGGGTTCAATTCCAGTCAAGGGCACATACCTCGGTTGCGGTACGTCCCTGGCCCTGGTTGGTGACACGTGTGAGGCAACCATTCGATGTGTCTCTCTCACATCAATGTTTCTCTGTCTTTCCCTCCCTTCCACTCTATCTGAAGATAAATGGAAAAATATCCTGGGGTGAGGATTTAAAAAAAGAACAGAACCTCCACTCACTAACTTCCCTTGTGGCCTT